TCGCCGCCCATGGCTGAAATATCCATATTTCCGAATAAATCAGGTTTTGGTGGATTCGAGGTTAAAAATACGTCTAAAACCCTCGCACCTTCGCGGTGAAGGAAAAATCCCATATATAACAGGGCCGTGTTTTTCTAACCCTACTCCTGTCAAGCCGATAATAAAACTGTCAAAATATAAGAGGCTAGAATAGAGGCACATGTTTCGGACTACTAGATATCAAGATAATTTGATTAATCGTGAAGTTTTAATTGATCTGAATTATAGATTGAAGACGTATATGTTGCAAGTTTTAAATTTTAGCATTTCATTTTGAAGCTTAGGCCCATATGTAACGGTCTTTTGACACGAGATTCCGTCTGGTTAATTGAGACAAAATTTTCGAACTCTTCAATACCGAAGGCGCGAAAAGGCGGGTGCCTTGAAAAAATATGGCATCGATATTAGAGTTGGCGCTTGACGAGAAAGTCTGCATAAAAGATATTATAATCTGGCTTTTGTCAAAAAGCAAAGATGTGAGTATCAGGTCAAATCCTTTATTACACGCACTTGGAAACATTTACTCTTGACAATCATTCCATAACTTAAAAAAACAATTCAAGCTGCCCCCTCCCGATACTGACAGTACAACTAACATCACTGTCATGTTATTTAGTCCGAAACATCTGCCCCTATTCCAGTCTTTGATAGATATTTTGACAGTTTTTGTATGGAGTCAGAAGAAAAAGTTACTGTTGAATGTGAATATGATATGTGTATGTAGTGACTTAATATTAAATTACCTTTACAATGACTGTAAATAAGTGTTGGTCATCACCATAACTTTGGTTTGTTGTATCAGGTGCCTCTGTGACCTTTGAAGTTTTTAAATGGCTGATGCGAGATCAGTTTCGTTAAGAAAAACTTTGATGGAACCGGAGACGTGACATAAATGGTGTTGGAGATGGTATGATGGTATGACTCAACAACAAAAATGTTTATTTTTCCAAATTTATCAGGTTTTGCCGATCCTAGCTATCTAAAAAGGCTTGCACCACACCTCCGAATATGTGGAAATTACCCATTTAACAGGGCTTATTTTTTCTGTCTCTACATCAGCCAATATTTGTCTAAGTAGCTATCAGAGGCTGAATTAGAGACAGACATTTTGATCTAATCTGTTACTGTAAGTCAATCATCTAAGATGACATTGTTGCCATTCTCTTCAAGAATTCAAAAAGCATTTATTATTGATAATGTATCATACTAGTCCGAAACATGCTACTGATAGATATTTTGATAGTTATCAATGAGTAGTCAGAAAAATAGGCCCTGTTTTATGGAGAGGTGTTTTTTCCAACAAAATACTGAATAACCTTAACGATGATTGTAAATTAGGGTAGGGTATCACCCGAACTTCCGTTTTATTGATATACATGATTCTGTGGCTTTTGAACCTTTGGTAGCAAACTCAGTTTGAGATAAATTTTGTAAGAAATATCGAAATATATCTGGGTTTGGCGATTTAAAGAAATAGGTTTAATAAACAGTGCGGATAATCCCCACAAAACATTTCTTTTTCTGTTTTTCTGTTTCTATCTAGTCCACAACTTTCAAATAGCTATCAGGGGCCGCAATAGAGGCAGATGTTTGTGTTTAGTATCATACAAGTACTATAGAGTATGTGACTACAGAGAAGTAAGAAATAAGAAACAACTGCCTTATTTACGTTGCTTATCCCATCTTAATCCATCCACTCCAACTGGTAATAGTCTACAAAGCACCAGGCCTTGTTTATGATCTTTTCATACAGTTCAATAAGAGCTTGAGACTTTCTTTAATCAACACATGCTTCAAAAAACCTTACAAACAGGTTATAATTTAGCTTCATCAAATAAGAAAAACATTTCCACAATTTCTTCATACATTGCATACCAATTATTTTGATCATTTTCTTTTGTAGGAAAGCCTTCCCGATGTCTTTAAAGAACATAAGACTGTTCGACAAGAATTTATTCCATTTTTTCTCAACTACTTAAGAGACCAGACTCTTCATTTGCTTCAAAATTCCAAATTAAATGGATCACCATCAAAAACACCATTGTCAAGCCAATGTTCAGATACCAATAAACAGTTAAATAAGAAAGTGAATCCTAACAGTTCCTCTAAACGAATGCAGCTATTTGAAGACAGTCCTTCTGATAATAACAAAGAGTTCTGTTCACCTATTTATTCTCCTGGCAATGAATCTCCTGTTTTTCGTAATTCATCTGAACGACAGAAAAAATATGATCAGAAATTTTTTCAGAGAGGACACAAATCACCCAATATGACTCCAGAGCCCAAAAGTGGGAAATATAAATTGAGTCTTGGTGAATTTATGTCACCAGATCCTGGACAGAGGAGAAAATCTTCTCCCTTCTCAAGTACTAATAAAGACTTGAGAGAAAACTCCCCATCTCCTACTGTCATGATATCAGACAGAGGAAATAAAAGTTCAGGAAAGAAAAGAGCAACATTACATACAATAAGCAAAAATACAAGCTCATTTAAAGAGAAGTCCCCAGTATTCAATTTGTCTGAAAATGATTTCCCTCCAGTTGGTGCAACAAATAATAACAGGTTTGTAACAGTTTTAATCTCATTCAGGTGTTACTATTATCAAGTGTTCAATTTGAAATTATTAGTTTTTTTAAATGATAATTTGAAATAGCATAAATGATCAGTGCATGAGGGTGGGTGAATAATGTCTCGCACTTTTGTTCTGTTGGAAATTTTGTAATTAACTGTGGACTAAATAGATTTCAGATTTCCAATGAGAAAAGCACTTTAGATAGCTCTTTCAGCTGATCAAGCAAAAAGTAGACCCTTATTCCCTAATGATTTTCAACTTCTAAGCTTATTTATTGTACTTGTATATTTATTAGAGATGAGACACCAAAACCGAAGAGAAGAATCAACCCAACTCAGTTATTACCAGATGCAAAGAAGAATGCGGCAGCTAAATTCAAGAAATTAGCTGAGGTTGTAGAGAAACCTGGGAATGCTAATATAAATGGTGTTAAAAGTGATACAGCAATGTCATCAGTTGATGGTGATATTTGTCTTGCTGATGAAAGAGAATTACTAAGGTATATGTTTAGTATTAACATTGAAATGGTGATGCTCACTTTTCGGTTAGTTTCATTGGTGTCAATTTATTACCAGTTAGATACAATTTTGATTAATGGTACAGACCTATGTATATTGGTTTTTATTCAATATTGAAAAAATAAAGTTACACAACATACAGGTATACATGTAACAAAATAGAAACACTGTTCAGTGATTAACAACTACGTGTTGGGGATAGAATGAGGCCCTTTTTTAATAAAGATGTGATAAAGAATTATTAATTAGTAGTATCAGTGATACACAGTATTTGTATATGGGCTTTGTAAATTTGTAGGCATCTAGGCAGTGAATGTTTATTTGGTTTTATGTCTGATAGGAAAGAAAAAGCGAAGAGACTGTCAATGGAATCAATGTCTACAACATCAACTGTCTCAACACCGTCCAAATTTAGCCTGGATAGAAGAACTAGTTGTAGTAGTAATACTGAGTATATAACAGCTTGTCTACATCTTGTAACTCATAGTGATAAACTTAATATCTTGGTTCAACTTTATTCTAGTTGTCTTGATGGTAAGCTCTTTTTGTTCAGTCATTATTGTGGGGTTGCTAAACATCACAGTCTGAAGCTAACGAGCTCCATCTAATGCCTTGACATCATTAGGCATTTCAACTGAACTGTACCTTAGCAAATACAGCCAATCAAAGACCTTATCATAAAAGTTGCGTGTATATCTTATTTGTTCCTGTCTGGCATAATAGACACTTAAATTATTATTTCTTAAAAGGTATTTGAATGACTTTATAATCAACCCTCTCTAGGAAGATAAGTTGTATATTTTTAAAGTATAATCAATTTTGTAGACTTTCAAATAAGAAAAGTGCCCATAAATGTTTTCACAGAGTTTGCAATAGTTTGACATTATGGACCTAAGCAGCCCAAAAATTTATAGATTTGTTTGACTTATATCTAAGTAATTATTTTCAATATCTCATTTCAGAACATTTGTTTCCTAATATCTCTGTAGAATTGTATTTCTTGATACAATTATTGACTTCATTATCAGAAGATATAAAACCTGACACACCTTCTGTAAATATAGGTGAGACAGTTATAATGTGGATTGATAGGCAGCATATTCTTTGATGTTGTAAAGTTCCTAAATGCTGATGTTGTATGTATCACTTTTAAATCTAAGTGGTACAGCAATTGAAGACTCAAGGGAGATAATGTATATAAAAGTTTGATAATTACCTCCCTTGATCCATTGTAGATTCAGAAGATATGAGTTTATTTGTAACTGTACATAATGCTGTATATTTCTCAGTAAATGTTCTGCAAAAACAATTAAAGTAAGTATTTGTAATTGAGTCTTTGTGCTGAGTATGGCTGATTGGGATGTGATATGATTGGGACCCAATCAGTTTACACAAAAATGAACAGGATAAATACGTTTTTAATGAACAACATAAAATAATTTCATGTTGCGTAAAAATTATATACGACTTAAAGACACAAAATGTCTATCATGGAATGATGTATTTATATTACTTGCTGTATGTACTTGCTAAAATATCTATGCTGTAATGTTACACAAATGCACTGTAAAGTAACTGTTCAATTTCAGTTTGCTGAAGTATCTAGACAGAAGTGTTATCAAATTGTTAGCAGAAAATAAAAGACTGGTGGATTTTTCTTCAGAACTGCATTCCAATCTTCTTGAGTTGTACACTAGCTCTTTTTCAGTAAAGGTAAGAATGGTTGTGCATTTTCCAAATACATAAACAACAAATTTCTAGACCAATGTGTCAAAAAATTGCTTATCATTTGCTTTCATTAAGCTAATGAATTTATTACTAAAAACTGTATTATAGAATAGATTTTGATAATTTATGACATTACATTGAACCTGTATGTCACCCTCAAAATATATCAAACTGTCTGTTATGTATTTAGAAATATCCAACTTGTCCCAGATCACCAATAGGTGGTGTATCATTTCAAGCTGATACAGATAACAGAAAAAATTTTCCTAGTGATAAACTATTTCACCAATTTAAAAAACAAAGGTAAGTTTTATTCTTTCTTTAATTCAAGATAGTTATTAAATGCTTATTTCTGTTGGTAGCTATCAAGACATTCTGGCTATTTTCTGATCTATGGTTAAAGGGACATTCTGCTTTTTTTGTAGGTTAAAATTTTAATAAAATCCAGCCGTTAATTTTTAAACGCCAAAACTTTACGTAAAAATTGTTACGTATCCTTTTAAAGTTCATTATGCTTTTTGCAAACTGTTAAAAAACTACTACGGATTTTGAGTAAAATAAACACCTAATTGTAGAGAAATACATCTATGTTTTCTGAAGATTTCAACTAAATATAACAGGCCATTATGAAGCCAATCACTGAAACTAGGTCAGACTGCTTAATTCACAATTAGTACTCTCAGGTTTTAATTAAACCTTTTAAAACAAATTCAGTTTGATCAAGTAGATACATAGATATAAATAGCATACTATAAATAGTTTCAGGTATAATTTACAACGTTTTTTATAATGAAAATGTTTCACTAATAAAGCGGAATGCCTTTTTAATTATTATAGAATTATAGAGCGATAAAGAAATATTAAAACAGAATCAGTTAAATAGGCTGTGTGATCAGACTACTCCCTATTAAGGATTCAATATATTTGCAATGATATAAATACATGTGCATTGCTTCAGATGAAATAATGAATGATCTGGTTAAGCAAGTAGTTCTGAATCTGATTCTTTGCCCAGTGTATTTGTATCACTAGAATTGCTGTGGATTCATTATTACATGCTTAAAAGAATTATATCTTTAGGTTTTGCATATTATATTGATGTGATATTTAATATTGATCATTGTAGAGATATGTTCTATGAATTGATAAGAGAGTGGGAGGAGAAGAGACTGACTACTGGCTGGTCTGTACAGGAAGTTCTAGGAAATAAAATCAGGTTTTTAGTCAATGTCAATACAGATTTAGTCAATCATCTACATTTTGCTAGGCTTTTTCTTTCACAGTTAATATCGGTAAGTTTATTCTTACAAAAATATTTATTTTTTAGATTCATGCATGAAATTTGTTACACTCATTTGTTACACTCATTTGTTACACGCTATTTCTGTTGGATTTTATTCAGATTTGTTTTGGATCTGATAAAAGATTGTTTTAGATGTACTTTGTTGAAGGCGTTTGAGAAAAAATCATGTCATGAACAGGCCTATTGCTCTGTTGTATTCACAAATATAAATATAAAATGCGTGTGTGAAAGTTTTTCTCGTCTGCATCTTTTGGTACCCACGATATTAGCGATTTAGTAAAATTTAATTTAAGAAACAGAAAGATATTCCTCATTGCATGTGGTGAGGATCTAAACAAGGGATTTTGACTCAAGCTAAAGCATTAGAAAACAGTAACGAAACTTTACTGAATAAGAAAATTTAAAAAATAATTAGCAAGAGGTATTTTTCATAAAAGGGAATTCCCAGGAGGAGGTCAGGAGGATATCAATCGTTTTGGATTTGGAGTGAGTGTTTCGGACTTAATAATGAAAAATGTTTTGGATTTGCTGATGTGAATTGTTCTGAGTTTGATAATTTGAATTGTTCTGAGTTTGATAATTTGAATTGTTTTGATTTGATAATTGAAATAGTTTTGGAGATTGTTTTGAATTGGAAAATGAAAATTGTTTTGGATTTGATAATATGGATTGTTTCCAAAGTGATAATGAAAATTGTTTTGAATTTGATAATGAAAATAATGGAATTTTTTTTTCACATGATAATCTGAATTATTTTAATTCAAACAGATACTCATTATCATATCAAAACAATTCAAATCTTTTAAATGTGATTGTTGTGAGTTCTGTTGGATTTGATGAAGTGAATTGTTTTAAATTAGTTCCATAAACATAATTTTGATAAAGTTGATCTTTCTGAATTTGTAGATGTGTAAAGGGGATGGGGTTATTAGAACAGAAGATGATGATAATATTGCTCTATTGGCTCATTTAAAGAAAACCAATCCTGCTAAATTTAAAAAGTAAGTAGTATAATGTTTTCTGCTTAAAATATATAGGCTTAAGTAAATACATGAAACAAGTTCAATAATTATACATAATAGTCTTAATTATAAAAATATTAATTCATGTGATTTGTAGGTACATTTATAAATTATTCTTAAAAATGAAAAAACAAAATATATATTTTGTCTGCATTCCATATAATGTATGATAATGTGATTTATAACTACAGTAATACTTGAATACCACGAGTAAAGTAGGTTAAATTATAATATGTGTCAGTTTGACCTTTTTACTTGACCTATTGAAATAGTTTAATATAATATTGAGATTATATGAGTGACATGGACGGTGAACAAAAAAAACTTGTCAAGCGTAAACAAAGGATGTATTGAGACAACAAAGGTTTATCCCTTATATACTAACATTCTTTGTTTATCAGCCACTTCATTCATACAACTTCATGCTATTGTCATAGTGTGTGAATGACTGGATAACCGGTTATCTTTTCTATTACTATATACACCAGATGTTGAACTGGATACTAGAGTGTAAACTATTAATAGTCAATTGACCTAGACAGGCTATCGAGTTTCTATAACGTTTTAAATTGAAGGATAAAAATTTGGATATGATATTCTTTCATTTATTGCAGGTTAATTAATTTTTTGATTTTTGCGCAGAAAATATCAAAAGGAACTAAATTATATTTAGTACATTTCCGTAATTCTAACATTTTATGTAAATTTTTATGTGAATTATTAGAATTATAGTTTACCTGCCTCTATACCATCTCAATTATTGCTAGAGAAAAAAAGACCTTAGTTTCCAACCTTAACTCAGTATCGCTTCTCGGCCTTTTGGCTAAGATCAAAGTGTAGTATCTGTTCTTATCAGCTTAATATCTGATACGTCCCCCATTGGGGGACTTCGATATTAAACTGATTTTTGGACTTAGGCAAAGAGTTTGGGGCTTGCTCCACCTTTGCCGCGGGTTGGCCTGGTATTGCAGTACTTCCAGGATTGGCCCACTCCCTCTGGGAGAAAAATTCAAAGATAAAAGAGTTTCCCTATTCCTTAATACAGCATAAGACTGTTCCTTATATTATTATATAGGACTTCTGGATCACATCACTCATGCAATTATTATTTGCCTGATTTTACATTCTCTTGTCTGTTATGGTAGTAAACATTTATTACATTATCATACAAATTATTGAGATGTTTGACCGGGTCAGAAGTATAAACCAAGATTAACTCTGACTACAAATCTGCCACTTGGCCAAAAACTGTTGTTCTTCTAGTTATACACAATATTTTAACATTTTACTTGCTAAGATCATTATTCAACTTCTCTTCATCTTAAAGTAATCATTATCAACCTTTCATTTAGTTCATTAGAAATATACATAATCTTTAGTAATTTAGTTAAGTATTTCTTGTTTGAATTTACTTTTATTTCACTTCAAGACAAATAACCAAAGATTGAATGTTACAATAATTGTACTGTCTAGCTAAGTACATGTATACAACTTAAACAATACTGATACCTTTAGGTCAATACTATTTATCATCTTCTCTTTGTTGAAATGATCAGTGGTCAGTACTGTATTATATAACAACTATAGTTAATAGAGAGTATAGACATCATGGTCTTTATCTCTATTGTCACGTGACCTGTTTATTAACTATAGTTTTACTATCGTATACAATTCATCATCTTTATTCTTACAATATCTTTCTACTGATTTCTTCTACCTACACTCTTATTTCTTTATCAAATTTTAACACAAAAATACCAAAATGACCAGATTTCAATTTTCTATCTGATGAAATTTCTATAAATTTATTATTTTTACTTGTTGATTTAAACTAGTCTGTTTTATTGTACCTAATCACCATCTTGAATATTGTTGTTAAAAATAATACCACACTTCTCGTTCCCTTTCTCAGTATCGCTTCTCGGCCTTTTGGCTAAGATCAAAGTGTAGTATCTGTTCTTATCAGCTTAATATCTGATACGTCCCCCATCGGGGGACTTCGATATTAAACTGATTTTTGGACTTAGGCAAAGAGTTTGGGGCTTGCTCCACCTTTGCCGCGGGTTGGCCTGGTATTGCAGTACTTCCAGGATTGGCCCACTCCCTCTGGGAGAAAAATTCAAAGATAAAAGAGTTTCCCCATTCCTTAATACAGCATAAGACTGTTCCTTATATTATTATATAGGACTTCTGGATCACATCACTCATGCAATTATTATTTGCCTGATTTTACATTCTCTTGTCTGTTATGGTAGTAAACATTTATTACATTATCATACAAATTATTGAGATGTTTGACCGGGTCAGAAGTATAAACCAAGATTAACTCTGACTACAAATCTGCCACTTGGCCAAAAACTGTTGTTCTTCTAGTTATACACAATATTTTAACATTTTACTTGCTAAGATCATTATTCAACTTCTCTTCATCTTAAAGTAATCATTATCAACCTTTCATTTAGTTCATTAGAAATATACATAATCTTTAGTAATTTAGTTAAGTATTTCTTGTTTGAATTTACTTTTATTTCACTTCAAGACAAATAACCAAAGATTGAATGTTACAATAATTGTACTGTCTAGCTAAGTACATGTATACAACTTAAACAATACTGATACCTTTAGGTCAATACTATTTATCATCTTCTCTTTGTTGAAATGATCAGTGGTCAGTACTGTATTATATAACAACTATAGTTAATAGAGAGTATAGACATCATGGTCTTTATCTCTATTGTCACGTGACCTGTTTATTAACTATAGTTTTACTATCGTATACAATTCATCATCTTTATTCTTACAATATCTTTCTACTGATTTCTTCTACCTACACTCTTATTTCTTTATCAAATTTTAACACAAAAATACCAAAATGACCAGATTTCAATTTTCTATCTGATGAAATTTCTATAAATTTATTATTTTTACTTGTTGATTTAAACTAGTCTGTTTTATTGTACCTAATCACCATCTTGAATATTGTTGTTAAAAATAATACCACACTTCTCGTTCCCTTTCTCAGTATCGCTTCTCGGCCTTTTGGCTAAGATCAAAGTGTAGTATCTGTTCTTATCAGCTTAATATCTGATACGTCCCCCATCGGGGGACTTCGATATTAAACTGATTTTTGACTTAGGCAAAGAGTTTGGGGCTTGCTCCACCTT